TATGATTAGCATTCACTAAATACTATCTTTATGGCTGAATTTACTCTATGCATTATTTATTTGTAGTTTTTATACACTTTTACATTATTTTGCCAACTGTAAGGAAATAATTGAGCATTTCCATAAGGTGTTTGTTGACAAATCATAAAAAGGCATTAAAGCTGCAGAGGAGTTATTGCACAAGAAAATACAAATGTTTAAGTTGTAAACCTTTCCATATACCCAGTGACGTGACTGGCCTCAGGTGTGACACAGAGATGAAACAAAACCTCCTCCATATATTGTATCTGTTTATCTACAACCCTATCTTCTCTACAGTCGGTCAAAGTGCAGAATTTATACAGCTTGTCTGAGCATTCAGAAAGCAAGGGGCAGGCAACAGAAGTTACATGCTCAGATATTAGTGAGAAGAGTTCTGATTGCAGGAAAGGGACACACCCATTTCACACAGGAACAGAGCTGAGGCTGTCAATCTGTGCCAGTCACAGGGCATGTGCTGGAAATATTTTTAATTGGAAAACTGCTACTTTCATATAGCACGTCATTAATTTATATTTACAAATCATGTCATTATTATTGGTTATATACAAAAGAGGTCAAATGTGCTTTTCAAAACTTTTTCTTTAAAACTACCTGCAAAGTACTTTGGGCGTTTTTACAGCCCTTGTGCTTGTTAAACAAATGACTTACTTACTTACTTATAATAGGGTGAAATAAAGCGACTTAGAAACTATACACAGAGTCTTACCGCATAAACGGGCGTTTTTACAGCCCCTGTAACTGGACAAGGCTGCTGTGTATTTACAGATGCTTAGTTCTTGACAAACTACTTATCTACCTAGGCCAAGGCAGAGCATGTAAGCCTTTAGATATCTGCAGCCCTATTTCAAAAATAGAGAGTGCAAAATCTAGGGGAGTGGAAGGATAGATGGCCAAGCAGAGTACAGAAAGCAAAGCAGAGCAAAGCAAGCAAGCCCCAAAAGGGGGCAGCGTTGGTACCTTTAAGGAGGCTGGAAGTGGAAACCCCTCCATAAATGGGCACTCCTTTCCGGCCCAACCCTGCTCCTTTCCAAGTGAAGCACCTTAAGCAGCTCACCGAGAGTGTCTCTCACCACCTCCTGGACAGGCAGGATTTTGTCCCTAGTGGACAGAAGACAGCGTGCATGCCAAGTGTAGAACAGCGTGACTATACTAACTAAATAAAGTGTAGGCAATGCAAACCCTTCCCTCACTCTGAAGTTGCCGTACACCCACTCGGGAAGAGACAGAGAGAAGAAGCAGGGATAGCCAATGGCATCCCCTACTCCCCTGTGAACTTCCGCATTGAAATTACCATAACACTTCTCAGAATTGACTCATGCAGAGGAAGGAGGCAGCAGAGAGAAATGACACTTACTTCTCTGGATTGAGACAAGTACACACTACAGAGAAACATGCGTTGTTCATTTTTCATGTCAGCGGTATACAACCACTTTAAGGTTCTTGATAGAGAAATTAATATTTAATGCATAAAAATAACTATTGCAGTCCTATGCATTATTTATGCATTCATACTGAATCTTCCAAGGAAATGTCATTTAATAAAATATTTCAAAAGCCTTAGTGGTCTGACCCCATAATTTCTTCTCTGCTGCAATCAAAAGTGGTGCATCACTTTATAGGTGATGATGTTCTGAATCTTCCATAGCACCCCATAATTTCTTGGGTGTTACACTCAAAACTGGGGTATCACCTTATAGGTAGTGATGTTCTGAATCTTCCATAGCATTAATAAGCTACATTTTAAAATCATTGATATGGAAACATACCAGTTTAAATTAAGATCCTGATTACCCTAGTGGGTAGTTAGTTCTTTCAATAGCATGTTATGATTAAATTGCAACTTTATCTGGTTATCTGAATAACGTCCCTATAAAAATGAAGATAGAGCATATAGAGTGATTCAAATTTTACACGTGGATACAAAAAAAATGAACTAAGTTGACCAGAACGTCTGCCATGTAAAAGAGAAGTGTGTGTGTGTGTGTTTATGTATATACAGTGAAGGAAATAAGTATTTGATCCCCTGCTGATTTTGAATGTTTGCCCACTCACAAAGAAATGATCAGTCTAAAAATCGAATGGTAGGTGTATTGTAACACTGAGAGACAGAATATCAACAAAAATTCAATAGAAATGCATATCTAACAAATGATGCACTGATTTGCATGTTCATGAGGGATATAAGTATTTGATCCCCTTCTCAAAACATGACTTAGTACTTGGTGGCAAATCACTTGTTGGCAATCACAGAGGTCAGACGTTTCCTGTAGTTGGCCTCCAGGTTTGCACACATCTCAGGAGGGATTTTGGCCCACTCCTCTTGGCAGATCCTCTCCAAGTCATTAAGATTTGGTGGCTGACGTTTGGCAACTTGAACTTTCAGCTCCCTCCACAGATTTTCAGTTGGATTAAGGTCTGGAGACCGACTAGGCCACTTCAGGACCTTAATGTGCTTCTTCTTGAGCCACTCCTTTATTGCCTTGGCCGTGTGTTTTGGGTCATTGTCATGCTGGAACACCCATCCAAGACTCATTTTTAGTGCCCTGGCTGAGGGAAGAAGGTTCTCACCCAAGATTTGACTGTACATTGCCCCGTCCATCGTCTTTGCTGCGGTGCAGTTGTCCTGTCCCCTTAACAGAAAAACACCCCCAAAGCACAATGTTTCCACCACCATGTTTGACAGTTGGGATGGTGTTCTTGGGGTCATAGGCAGTATTCTTCCTCCTCCAAACACGGCGAGTTGAGTTGATGCCAAAGAGTTCAATTTTGGTCTCATCTGACCACAACACTTTCAACCAGTCCTCCTCCGCATCATTCAGATGTTCAGTAGCAAACTTCAGACAGGCCTGGACATGTGCTTTCTTGAGCAGAGGGACCTTGTGGGCACTGCAGGATTTCAATCCTTATCGGCGCAGTGTGTTACCAATTGTTTTTTTGGTGACTGTGGTCCCAGCTGCCTGGAGATCATTGAGAATATCCTCACGTGTAGTTCTGGGAGGATTCCTCACTGTTCCCATGATCATTGACACTCCACGAGGTGAGATCTTGCATGGTGCACCAGACCTAGGGAGACTGACAGTTGTTTTGTGTTTCTTCCATTTGTGAATGATTGCACCAACTGTTGTCACCTTCTCACCAAGCTCCTTGGCGATAGTTTTGGAGCCCAGTCCAGCCTTGTGTAGGTCTACAATCTTGGCCCTGACATCCTTGGACAGCTCTTAGGTCTTTGCCATGGTAGATAGTTTGGAATCTGATTGTTTGATTGCTCCTGTGGACAAGTGTCTTTTATACAGGTAACAAAATGAGATTAGCAGCACTCCCTTTAAGAGACTGCTTCAAATCTCAGCTTGTTACCTGTATGAAAGACACCTGGTAGCCAGAAATCCTGCTGAATGATAGGGGATCAAATACTTATTTCCATCATGAACATGCAAATCAGTGCATCATTTGTTAGACATGCATTTCTTTTGAATTTTTTGTTGCTATTCTGTCTCTCAGTTTTACAATACACCTACCATTCGATTTTTAAACTGATAATTTCTTTGTGAGTGGGCAAACATTCAAAATAAACAAGGGACCAAATACCTATTTCCTTCACTGTATACAGTTTATCTAAGAAACTTCCACACTTTTATTAGCCAGAACCTACCCAACCATGTCCTTCTGCAACTAGTTTCATTTTGTTACTTGAGACGATGTCAATACTAAACCCACCCAACTGCCTTTCTTTGTCCAGTGAAACGCCCTCAAAGGCCACGTTCATTGGACATTAGTTGGCAGTGCTTAGCCCTGAAGTCAATTCCCAAGTAACAAAGTGAAATTAGTTTCAAAAGGCACAAAGGAAAAGGTTATCTGGCAAGAAACGTAATAGCAGACGCCTGATTACTTTTAAAAGCTCAAGGTCAAAGAACCTAACAAATCACCAGGAGAAATTAAAAATAGTAAAGAAGGTTTAAGACTTGAACTGTATACTAAAAACGTTGCTCTGTTTTTATCTGAAATATGTTTGATGCATTTATTGATAGTGATTGTGGACTTTCAAGCATTACTTGTTCCATGTGGAGAAATCAGAAATTGCTTTTTGAGCAGTAAAAGTGCAGGCTCAAGTAAAACAATGGTTATTGCAACAACACAACACACTACTTGACATCATTTAAAATGGACTAGAAAAAAATCTGTTGAATTCTTAAAGTGATCCTAAACTCTGGTTTAAAAATAAACATTTCTTAACCATAAGTTCCTTCTGTTGCTCTTAGCCTCCTCAAAATTCCTTTTTTTTTTTTTGTGACTACATTTAGTCTCCATGGTCCCACTGAATGTAGGAAGATAGGCTTGCTTCATCCTGAGGTGGACTATGGGATGTGTAATGTGAATAGAGCAGTTCACTATTCATTCCAAACAGAAGTTTGGAAAAGGAGAGGTTCTGCAACTCACAGCAGATGTTACAAAAAGGGAAAAAAAACAAACATTTTCATGACAAATGGATTACAGAGCCATTAAAGTTAGTCAGGGGTGTCAAACTGGCAGCCCTCCAGCTGTTGCAAAACTACAAGTCCCCCATCACACCTCTGCCTTTGGGAGTCATGCTTGTAACTGTCAGTCTTGCAATGCCTCATGGGACTTGTAGTTTGGCAACAGCTGGAGGGCTGCCAGTCTGACACCTGTGAGCTCGTGGATGTGTATGGATTATTTTTGGGAAAATAAGGATATTGTTTAGAGACACTTTAACATATTTAAGAATTATACTATGTGCAGATCCACCTTTAAATTATAATAATTAAAACAAAACACATGATAGCTGCTATTAAATTAGCATTTTCATATAAACAATCTCCAAAAAGAGATGTAAACATATTTTGTAATTCCTTAATCTTGACGGGTGTGTCAAATAACAATCAATAGCTGTCCAATTCAGGCCAATTTATATAAGTCTATAATTTACAGTTTATTTTATAAAATCAGAAGAAATCGGATGCTTTTCTTCGTTTGGGTAAGTGCAGCAGGTTATCAGTAATGGTAGTGGAATCAGGAACAGTAGGAGTCCGTGAAGCAGCTCCAGGAGTGGGAGTTACAGTGGGCGTTAGACGAGATCCTCCTGGTGTCTTAAAGGCATGCGAGCTTGTATGTGCAGGGGATGGGGTGTAACTTGCTCTTAAAGCTTTATCAGTATATTTACTTGACGTCCTATTCACCAAACGCTGAAGAGCAGGAGACATAGACGGGCTCAGACCTTTAGGTGTCAGGCTGTGGAAGAAAACATATTTAAAAATAAATGTCAAAGAATGCATAAAACGGTACAAACATTAAATAAGTACCCTAAATGTAATTATAGAGTCTGCACTTACCTAGCTAGATTCTCTGTCACTTTTCTTAATGCTTCCTGTTTTTTTGCTCTGTTCTTTGCTGCTGCCTCATTGGCCATTTTCAGACCCAAGCGCTCCCTGCGGCCAGGTTCCAGAATCTATTATAACACAGTATAAGAATATCAAATCATTGGAAAGGCTGTTATTAATTATGTTAAAAATGCCCACACACGTGAGAGGGCAAGCATGATAAGACTGCTTTCTATCCTAGACCAGGCTTGGCCAGGGGTGTCTGCTGGGCCCCTACAGATTCGAAGACTGCTTTCTAATGTCTGCGGATACCTTGTGGGTCATATTTTCCGACCTCAAGTCTCAAACTTCACTAAATGCCTGAGAAATGGTAATAAACACAATTCTAATCAAAGCCAACAGTTTCCATTATAATTGTAATAGAAATTTTCTGACTATTGGATATTTTAATACTTTCCTTTATTGTTAATAGCCTTTGTTGCTGTAGAGTACTGTACAAAACGTCTGCAGCAATGCAGTGACTTGTTCCTCATTACCTGAGATCATAAAGCTACAGGATGTGTTGAACAATGTTATTAACTGTATTGTAATAAGGCAGCCCATGCTCCACAAGGTACATTTTATCGGAATTGCATATTTCTTTCAAGGCAGCGGCCTGCAACACACATATGTGCATTGTAGCGATCTAATTTACATGTGCTTAGTGGGCGTTAAGGTGGCACCGCAATGCACTACACTGTGCATTGTAGTAAAATGTATATAGCTGTGCTTTACCAGAAAACATAAGGTGGATGTGTCATGCTTCCAACAATACACAAAGTCAGAAGAAAAACAGATCAAACATATTTAGAGGGAGCCTGGTAGAGTAAATTTTTTTGGACACTGCCACTGCAAACCTGGGAGGTGCAGAATCCTGGTTGTCATCTAAGTCCCTGATTCAATACTTAGCCACCATCTGCTGGCCACTGCAGTGTTACTCCAGTCTGTGTCGTACATCATAAAATGCAGACCTGTGCTGTGATGGGGAGTCTGTGGGTGTCCCATAGAGTTCACTCCTCTTTGTCAGATTAAGTGACAGGGCTCTAATATATTCCTTCTTACTCCTTAATTACTGGTTGCAATTCTTGGTGAATCAACAGCCCCAGTAGTCAAGCAGCCAGTGAAGTGTTACTACCTGAATTGCATACTCATGCCAGATTAGGGAGTCAGTAAGTGACAGGGTTTTAGGATAGCAGCCACAGAACTTATGTCTTTATAAACAGGTTAGCGGTGGCTTTTCCCCTATTACCGCCTATTAATTATACGTAAATCAAATCACTAAAAGAGCACATTGCAATTTTGCCTCAAACAACAAACCTAAAGAAAAAAAGGCTCTCTACTAACCAAGCTTTAAATGTTAAGCCCAATATGATTCTGCGCTTGGATTAAACCATGTGATAAGAACAGCTAGCACAGGTGAAAGATGCACAACCTCAAATACAAAAATGCAAAAGATGCAGTGCAAAAATTATATAATAAATTATAATAAAACTTCCCCCCAAAAGAATCCGTGCTCAAAATAATGTTTAATTACAATTGATTATTTAATTTTAGCGCTCCACTTTTTGTATTACAAGCTTTAAATGTTGCCTGGCCACTGCCTTTAGTAATGCTGTGTACTGTTTGCAATAGAAAACAAATCCTTTTTTTTTTTTCCATTGTGACTGCACAGCCATGGGCTGGGCAGTGGCTGCTGCAGCTGGAGGAAGGAGACTTAGACAATACCTACAGCATTGCTGCTAGTAGGATAATGTTGCTACTCTAGGATTTCAGTGCTGTTGGCTCTCACCAAGCTGTTTAGGACCTGGAGTTCTGCGGTCACATGACTACTAGGAAAATAGTAATTTCACACTTGCCTACTGGGCATTTTCACCCCCTTCCTGCCCAGACCAATTTTCAGTGCTGTCGTACTTTGAATGACTATTGTGTGCAACACTCTACACATATGAAATTGTTATTTTGTTTGAGACATATAGAGCTTTCTTTTGGTGGTATTTAATCACCACTGGGTTTTTTTATTTTTTTCTAAACAAACGAAAAAAGACCAAAAATGTTTTAATTAGTTTCTCTTATAAAATTTTGCAAACAGGTAACTTTTCTCCTTCACTGATGTGCACAGATGAGGTTGCGCTGATGAGTACTGATGAGGCAGCACTGCTAGACACCAAAGGTCACTGACACTGACTGGCAGTACTGATGGGCAATGTTGGGGCCGGGGACTGCACTGAACTGCCTCTGATTTCTTTAAACACACTTGCTGATTACTGGCTTCACTCTTTCCTCACGTTGTGACAGCGTGAGGAAAGTGCAGCCTATAACCGGCAATTGTATTTACATTGTGATCAAATGTGTCATTGGACACAGCTGATCATGTGGTAAAAGGGATCTGTGATTGGCCCGTTACCATGTCATGTGATCAGCTGTGTCCAATGGACACAGCGATCACAGAGCTCGCAAGGGGCGCATGGAAAGCGCAGTTCTGAAGGACATCATATGACGCCCTCCCAGAACTAGACGACCACACTGTAGCTGTCATTCAGCTATAGCCCAGTTGTCAAGTGGTTAAAAAAAAAGGTATTTACAAAACTAAATCCAAATCACATACTATTTATTACAAACCGTATGCATCATTACTTGAGACAGAGTCAAAGCAACACATAATTCTTAGTTAGTAGTTATCCTTTCCTTATTCTTCAACTGGCAACACATCACACCTGTTGCTGCACACCCAGAACACTTTTGGGGAGATTTGCTAAAACTGGAGAGTGCAAAATCTGGTGCAGCTCTGCAAAGAAACCAATCAGTTTTCAGGTTTTATCGTGGGAGCTTAATTGAACAAGCTGAAGTTAGAAGCTGATTGGCTACCATGCACAGCTGCGCCAGATTCTGAGTGCTCCAGTATTAGTAAATCTCCCCCTTCGTGTTAAAAAGAAGATATATGGTTACCTTAAATGATGGACCAGGTGCTTTTTCCAAATAAGGGGTCTCGGAACCATCTAAACGAAAAGGAGTGCTCTCAACCTCACCCCAAGTCATTAAAGGGGACTCATCAACTCCTGTGATAAAACAATGAAATATTGTTGTTAGTTTAGGACTAAGGTTCTGTTTGGGTTATCTAAAAGTACAAATTTTCTATGACTAGACCAACATAAATTTTCTATGTACATACCAGGAGCAGGTGATGGAGTGGCCACAAATCCAAAGCCATTGACTTTCGGGGGATTCCTGTGGTATCAGTTCCTTCCCATCAGGGCCAACTTTCCCTTGTTTATACTGTACACAGAAAAGAACACCTATTGAATACTGAGTCAAATACAATCCAGGAAAGCAGACAAAAACAATAAGAAAAAATTGTCTTACTTGTGCATTCAAGGCAGCTGCTTGTTGGAGCTGTGTCTTACTTAAGGCTTGACTAAATGGGTCCTTTTGGAAACGTGTGTTTCTATGGACCACTTCCCGAGGTTTCTTGAATATGACATCATTATCTGGCACACCTGTAAGAGATGTTACTGTAAAGAACCTTTTGTTTTGGCATACAAAAATCATTCATCACTCCAGACTCTGTACATATAGTCAATATACTTTCTTAGTGTTTTGTTAAAAGATCCAAGGTGTCTATTTTGGAAGCATCATCCTTTCGTAATATGTTATAGTTTTTCTATGAAAACTATTTTCTTGAGGTGAGTCTTTGCTTTTGCTCTGTCTTATCTCTAGTATAACTCTAGTTTTATAACCATTGCTGTGTACATTTGTTTGTGTGTGTTTTCAGTTTTTTTTTTCTCCCCCTTTTAACATTCTGCTAAAACTTTGTGAAGTAGTACTGTCTGGACCCTGAAGAAGGGGACATACCCCGAAAGCTCGTCCTCAAAATTGTATGTTTAGTGCAAATAAAAAAAGTATCACGGACAGCACTCAATTGTTTCTATGAAAACTACCAACATAAATGTGCATGTGATGGAGAAATTCATTTTTCATTGATTGTGGCTCACCAATGTATAAAAATTCCCTCAAAAACTGGGCCATATAAGGATGGTTTTACCACAATGTCATTGTAAATTGGTCATACGGCCAAGGCCACTATGTCCTTGAAGAAACGTTTGCTATCTTCCTAAGTGATATCACTTTCCAAACAATTACAGTGAAGGAAATAAATATTTGATCCCCTGCTGATTTTGAATGTTTGCCCACTCACAAAGAAATGATCAGTCTAAAAATCAAATGGTAGGTGTATTGTAACACTGAGAGACAGAATAGCAACAGAAAATTCAAAAGAAATGCATGTCTAAAAAATTATGCACTGATTTGCATGTTCATGAAGGAAATAAGTATTTGATCCCCTTCACAAAACATGACTTAGTACTTGGGGGCAAATCACTTGTTGGCAATCACAGAGGTCAGACATTTCCTGTAGTTGGCCACCAGGTTTGCACACATCTCAGGAGGGATTTTGGCCCACTCCTCTTGGCAGATCCTCTCCAAGTCATTAAGATTTGGTGGCTGACGTTGGCAACTCAAACTTTCAGCTCCCTCCACAGATTTTCAATCGGATTAAGGTCTGAGACTGGCTAGGCCACTCAGGACCTTAATGTGCTTCTTCTTGAGCCACACCTTTGTTGCCTTGGCCGTGTGTTTTGGGTCATTGCCATGCTGGAACACCCATCCACGACCTATTTTCAATGCCCTGGCTGAGGGAAGAAAGTTCTCACCCACGATTTGATGGTACATTGCCCCGTCCATCATCCCTTTGATGCGGTGCAGTTGTCCTGTCCCCTTAGCAGAAAAACACCCCCAAAGCAGAATGTTTCCACCACGTTTGACAGTTGGGATGGTGTTCTTGGGATTAGAGGCAGCATTCCTCCTCCTCCAAACATGGCTAGTTGAGTTGATGCCAAAGAGCTCGATTTTGGTCTCATCTGACCACACTTTCAACCAGTCCTCCTCTGCATCATTCAGATGTTCAGTGGCAAACCTCAGACGGGCCTGGACATGTGCTTTCTTGAGCAGAGGGACCTTGCAGGCACTGCAGGATTTCAATCCTTGTCGGTGTAGTGTGTTACTAATTGTTTTCTTGGTGACTGTGGTCCCAGCTGCCTGGAGATCATTGACAAGATCCTCACATGTAGTTCTGGGATGATTCCGCACTGTTCTCATGATCATTACACTCCACGAGGTGAGATCTTGCATGGTGCACCAAACCTAGGGAGACTAACAGTTGTTTTGTGATTCTTCCATTTGTGAATGATTGCACCAACCTTCTCACCAAGCTGCTTGGCAATAGTTTGGTAGCCCAGTCCAGCCTTGTGTAGGTCTACAATCTTGTCCCTGACATCCTTGGACAGCTCTTTGGTCTTTGCCATGGTGGAGAGTTTGGAATCTGAATGTCTGATTGCTCCTGTGGACAGGTGTCTTTTATACAGGTAACAAAATGAGATTAGCAGCACTCCCTTTAAGAGACTGCTTCTAATCTCAGCTTTTTACCTGTATGAAAGACACCTGGTAGCCAAAAATCCTGCTGAATGATAGGGGATCAAATACTTATTTCCCTCATGAACATGAAAATCAGTGCATAATTTGTTACATGCATTTCTTTAGAATTTTTTGTTGCTATTCTGTCTCTCAGTGTTACAATACACCTACCATTCGATTTTTAGACTGATCATTTCTTTGTGAGTGGGCAAACATTCAAAATCAGCAGGGGATCAAATACTTATTTCCTTCACTGTACCATTGGTCCTTACTTACTCATTACTCTATATATACTACAGGTAAAATTGTAAAAAAATGAGTCCTTTAACAGAACTGTGATAAGCACGTGTCTGCCCTGATCATCTGCCAAGCTGTTGGAAAATTGCCGGGGACCCTTATAAGAGCACCTATATGCTAACTATAGCTCTGTATTTTTGGAACATTTTCTAATATTATTACATTTGTTGTCTTTATTCTTTATCTGTCATTTCCTGATTAAATGTTTAGTTTGTTTTGCCTACAAGTGTTTGTGTGATCTCTCTTTGCACATCTCAAAAAAACCCAAAAATTTAAACTGTCATGTAATTGTGAAACAAAATCATGGGGCTTACCTTCAATGCCATAGTATGGGCAGAAACAGGCCCACCAACTGAAACTTAGCTGCTCTGAACACAAAATTCTACAGCAAGCAGTTCTGTTCCTAGGTGGTCAATGTAAACATTCTTGAAAAGAGAGTACACTGCACCAGCTGCAGTTTGAACACTGGAGACAGTGCTTGGCTTTCTCTGCCACAACATACCTCCCACCAGTGCCACTTGGCTAAGTACATACTTTTAGCCCCAGTGGTTTTAGAGCAGGGGTCAGAACCAACTACCAAACAGCAGTAAGAACAGTAGTGAACCCTGTCAGGTTTCACTGATCCCTGGGAAGTGTTTAGGAAAATCTCTCCAGAACAAAACAAAATCCACTACAATGAGGATATAGAGATGAATTAAAATATTACAGATGGTCTAGCTCTAACTATCCCCAGTCCATTCAAAGTGAAATATAAAACATCGGAGTTCAATTGAAAGCAGAACTCTGGCCAGTTATTTTACCCCCGTGCAGTGGGGCTGTGCCCATACTACATGGGTTAACTGCTCGTTTTATTCTAGGGGGAGAGGACATCAGAGATATACTTATCTGACCCATCGATCCTCTCCGCACAAGACCGGCCTGGCATCCCCGTGCTCCAGCGGTCTTGAAAATGGACTGTTCCTGATGTCAGGACCATCCATAGACATGAACAGTCCACCGCTGGACCATGGGGAAGTGCAGTTTCCCAGAGGGTTGGCAGATAAGGCGAGTATGAACTTTGTGCTCATCGCTAGAAAAAACAAGCAGTTGACCCATGCAGTGCAGGCACAGCCCCACTGCATGGGGGAAAAAAACATTTTGCCCAGCATTGGGCTTGCATAATTTTAGTTCTGTCTGAAAATCATAAAACTTTCTCAGTTCAAATATTTTATTAGCCTACCTCAGTTAATACAGGCTGATGGCTTCAATGACCTATGCTACTGGTGAAAATGTTAGTGCTTCGTAGAATACACACCTGCAGGATAGTACATGAGGGTGTTATGCGTTTTGTACTCCCAGGTGTCTAGACCCGCTTTTCCACTTTCTATGGCTTGCAATTCAGCAGAAGGGAGAGCCAGGTTATTCTGAAACCGCTGGGGAAAAAGTGAAAGAGAGAAAAGGAACGTTACAATGATTTATTAACTTTAGATACAGTTTACCTTTTTGGAATATAGTTTCAGCCACTATTTGTTTTTATTAAACATACATGTGTACAAGCAGTTACTTCCTGACAAGAAAGGTTTACCATTAAAGCTAACTATTACCTAAAGAGCAGAAAAGTCCATTACACAGTAATTTAATTAGTGTAAACCTGTTACAAACCTGGGCAACAAAGTATATCATGAAAAAATGAAAAATCATAGGAATACTGTGTACCAATAGTTGATTGACACATTTATATTCAAGTCTCAACTATTCTGTAAGTAGTTGCATCTTGCCCTTCCCATCTCTCAAGCCTACATATGACCAAAGAAGCCACATGCAATTAATGATCCAAGATGAATGGTAAAGCAGGTAGAAGGGCTGGACAAAGCCTAACATTTACATGTTATGTTCGAATTTACAGTGGGGATCGAAAGTTTGGGCACCCCAGCTACAAAAATAAAAAATAAAAAAAAAAAAAAAAAAAAAAAAAAAAAAATTGTATTAATCTGCATAAAGAAGCCAAAGAAAGATGGAAAAATCTCCAAAAGGCATCAAATTACAGATTAGACATTCTTATAACATGTCAACAAAAGTTAGATTTTATTTCCATCATTTACACTTTCAAAATAACAGAAAACAAAAAAATGGCGTCTGCAAAAGTTTGGGCACCCTGCAGAGTTAATATCTTGTACTGCCCCCTTTGGCAAGTATCACAGCTTGTAAACGCTTTTTGTAGCCAGCCAAGAGTCTTTCCATTCTTGTTTGAGGTATCTTTGCCCATTCTTCCTTACAAAAGTCTTCCAGTTCTTTGAGATTTCTGGGCTGTCTGTCACGCACTGCTCTTTTAAGGTCTATCCATAGATTTTCAATTATGTTGAGGTCAGGAGATTGTGAAGGCCATGGCAAAGCCTTCAGTTTACGCCTCTTGATGTAATCCCCCGTGGATTTCGAGGTGTGTTTAGGTTCATTATCCATTTGTAGAAGCCATCCTCTCTTTAACTTCAGCTTTTTCACATATGGCATCAAGTTACCATCCAAAATTTGCTGAAATTTTATTAAATCCATTTTTCCTTCTACTCGTGAGATGTTCCCTGTGCCACTGGGTGCAACACAACCCCAAAAAATGATTGATCCAACCCCATGCTTAACAGTTGGACAGAGGTTCTTTTCATTAAATTCTGTGCCCCTTCTTCTCCAAACGTACCTTTGTTCATTCCGGCCAAAAAGTTCAATTTTAACCTCATCGGTCCACAGAACTTGTTTCCAAAATGCATCAGGCTTGTCTATATGTTCATTTGCAAAGTTCAAACGATGATTTTTTGTGGTGAGGACATAGAAGAGGTTTTCTTCTGATGACTCTTCCATGAAGACCATATTTGTACAAGTATCTCTTTATATTGGAACAGTGTACCACAACTCCAGAGTCTGCCAGATCTTTCTGGAGGGCTCGTGCAGTCAAACGTGGGTTTTGAATTGTTTTTCTCACAATCCTGCGAGCTGTTCTGTCTGATATTTTTCATGGTCTTCCAGATCTTGCTTTAACTTCCACTGTTCCTGATGACTGCCATTTCTTAATTACATTCCGAACAGAGAATATTGACATCTGAAAACGCTTTGCTATCTTCTTATAGCCTTCTCCAGCTTTGTGAGCGTCAACTATTTTCAGTTTCAGTTTTCTAGACAACTGCTTAAAAGAACCCATGGTGCTGATTGTTGGGGCAAGGTCAGATGAGTCTGGGCATTTAAAACCTTTGAGATTGACATCACCTGGTCTTCCCAGACGATGATTGAGAACAATCCATGACACTGGCAGGTCTCAGCTTGGCAAAGGGGGCAGTGCATGCTATAAATTCTGCAGGGTGCCCAAACTTTTGTAGATGCCATTTTTTTGTTTTCTGTTATTTTGAAAGTGTAAATGATGGAAATAAAATCTAACTTTTGTTGACATATTATACGAATGTCTAATCTGTAATTTGATGCCTTTTGGAGATTTTTCCATCTTTCCTTGGCTTCTTTATGCACATTAATACAAATTTTTAGCTGGGGTGCCCAAACTTTCGATCCCCACTGTACATATAAAATGATGCTGCCAATATCTCCAGGTATCCATATCAACTGAACATAGTTCAGTTTTAAATATGGTTTTAAGTGAGGATAAGATTTGCTTAATGTCACATCAGTCCCTATTTCTAGGAAAGCTTACGATATAATGTCCCAGCACAAACAGTACACAATAATAGGCAGTTTAGGTAAAAGCATTTTATCCTACTAGCACATTATTTGGAAAGTGAATAACCTGGAGAAAAACAAAAAATCAGAACATACAATCTAAATATATATGATCTCCTGGGAATTCAAACCCAGGATTCCAAATTTGTAAAACAACAATGCTAACCACTGTAGCACCATGCTGAAAGTAATGCAGTCTATAAAATCTATATGCCATAAATGTGAAATCAAGAGTACTTAAAATATAAATATTCATGCACACATTGTACATCTTGTGCATCAGCTATTAAAGGATAATATAAATATTATCTTGCCTGTTTGTACTCTTCTTCAGCTTCATATAGCCAGGAATTTCGTGCTTTCTCCTTCTCCTTTGCCACTTCCATTATTTGTTCAAAGGAAGCATTGTCCTCACTAGTGTGTTTTGCTAAAAAATTATCAAGGCTAGGAAGCTCCTGACTTTCCTCTTCGGTTTTCTCGCCTTCTGCTGCAAAATGCAAAAGTACAATTAGTATTTACATAAGCTTTATATGTAGTATAGGTATGTAACTGAATATGCACCAATACACAAACATTAAAAGCGAAACCTGAAATTGAGATTTAACTATTGGTTGTATGCCAAAGTGGTACAGCACAGTGAATGCATAGGCCTATAAAAAAGTGGAACAGATACAATACATCTACACCTAATTTGGCTTTTAGTCAAATAAGATAATTATGCCCCCCCCCCCACCAGCTGGTCTTTTAAACTTCACGGATGGGAAATACTAAATACCTTTCATCATAAAGGCAGTAAGTTCTAAAAGACATACAGTAACTCCAAATCTTATTGAGTTAAGTTCCAAAGAGCTATAGGCCGGCAGTATGGGCTCCAAAACAATGATATCCACCTAATACTGAAACATTAGTTCTGGGTAACTTTTTCCTTAATCAGTAAAAATCTTACATTTTATCATCTGACAAAACGTAAAACTTAAAGTGGGATTTCAGCCAAAATGTTTTTTTCCCCCCTCAAGAGACAGTGAGAAAAGCTTATAACTTTTTTTAGGATTCTGTTACTGTTACAAAAACAGTCACTGCCCCAGTCTATAACTGGCCTTCACAGCAAGGAGCACATGGATGGGCGACGCATGTCAAACAACAAAACAGAAAAATTCCCAGCTCTAACTTGCCAGCCAGCCTCCAAACAAACCGAATTTACCTGTCTAGTAGTATGCGTTAAAAACAGGGGTTTAGTTCGCAAACATCTGCAAATAAAAAAATTTGCAAGCTGGCTGGCAAGTTGGAGCTGGGAATTTTTCTGTTTTGTTGTTTGTCATGCGTCGCCCGTCCATGTGCTCCTTGCTGTGAAGGCCAGTTATAGACTGGGGCAGTGACCATTTTTTGTACTGTTGAATTGCTGGTCGAGAGGGCGCACGGTACACCCTAGCTGCCATTGTGCTACATGCTGGGTGTCCAGTGCGCTCCTGTACCTTTAAGGAGGGGTGGGCTCCCTCAGGTCCATCTGCCCTTGGTCTATCCATTAAATACATGTGCCTCTACTATGGGAGCTCTCAAAATTTGTAGAGTTAGGAACTACAGAATACTGGGATGCCGTGACGAGGCTCTGTAGCTTACGCATGTATTTGCAAATGTGTGCGAACTAAACCCCTGTTTTTAACGCATACTGCTAGACAGGTAAATTCAGTTTGTTTGCAGGCTGGCTGGCAAGTTAGAGCTGGGAATTTTTCCGTTTTGTTGTTTGACATTCTGTTACTCTGACCGTATTTTTTTTTTAGGATAAAGTTTATTCATTTCAGTTATAAATGTACAGACACAGGAAAAACTTCATTAAGTCAATTCCTGGAATAAAAACAAAAAAGGCAGTAGGAGGGATAACATACATAGAAATATCTTAATAAACAATATGTCACACTAACTAAAACAGAGTGCAATACAATAAAAATAAAAGTGGATCAAATAAACAGTTCATGGAAATAGTGTCAAAAAGTCCAACACCCACAAGGAAACTTCAAACTGCATCAAATGGAATCTCCATGTGTCATACCTTCCCTCAGTGAAGAAACACACCACGTGCCCTAACATCTGGTGAAGATGTCAGCTTCCCAAGGGACGCATGACTCTCTGTCATGGAGAAGTCAGAAAACACTTGCGTAGAAGAAAACTGCCTCTGCTGTGTGTGCATTTCTTAAAACAGATCCTCCACAGCTCGTGGTCCCAGGAATAGAAGAAATAGTTTCATTTTTTTTTTTTTTACAATAGGAGGACTGAACAACCTGAGATTACATAAGTAACAAAGTGTATCTGACAAAGATCTTTTGTCAAGGACCTGTGGAGGTTTAAAGTCACATATTGCTTGTGTCACAGGGGTCTCCAAGTGGGTCTGGAGTACTGTGTTTGGCAAATAAAAACATAGTGATGTGGTTCTTCCCTAAGAGAGGGCTGTTGCCAGTTCGACTTAGTAATTCAAAGGTGAAGTTAAACGGACTAAACAATGGGCTCGTAATGAAGAAGAGACAGAAAAAAGGGAGGGAGAGGGGCTGTGGGTGTAGGTATGGGAAAGGCCTTGCTCAAACCTATTGCTGAAGGTTTCAGTCAGGAGAAAATGACTGGGAACAAAGGCGAGTCCAAAAAGAATATCCAGATACGCCAAGTAGCCATGAATATAGAAAATGTATTGTGATGTTGTGCCAACAGCTCTTCCAGACGTTGTATGCGAGTTAGTTTAACAAGCCAAAGACTTTCAATGCCTGGCTATTACATTTCTGGCAGCTATTAGAAAGAAGCATAGTAAACCCTTTTTATCTGTGAAGATGGAGTCTGGTACGAGAGAGAGAAGGGCAATGGATGGGGATAGGAGAGTGTGTGACTTAGCAACAGAGTCACAGATGCGGATAATGCGTGACCAGAAACTTTGTATTGTGGTACATGCCCACCAAATGTGGAGCATGGAATTCTGCAAATGTCCACACATCCAACAGTCCGGTGAGACAGGCAAGTAGATTCTATGGCGCAGGTCAGGAGATGGGGACCATGGTAATTAGACAGTACATGAGAATAGAGCTTAAGGCTGTCTTACCTTCATCTCCTGTTCTGTGCTTTGCAGCCAAAGGTGTACCAGGAATACCAGCAGGTGTTTCAAAGGTGGCAGGTGTAACATCTAAAGATTGAACACAACACATAAGCAAGATGCACCACACACATTTTTTAGATTGTCCAAAATTAATTAAAACATTTATACTTTCTATTATTTTAAAAACAAAATACAACTAAATTCGTGTGATGGGTTGGCCAAAGAGTCTGCTCTGCCTTTTTGCTTGTTTTCTGTGACTGAAACCTTAAACTGAGCTGTCTGACAGTCAATGACTCGGACTCATCTGCTGGTGTGAGAAAGGAGCCCAAAGCACCACTTTCTAGCTGGACTGAACACTATCAAATAATCATATACAATATTTCATTTTTAACCTAAAAATATATAATTGTTTTTCATTTTTACTCTTTTTTTAGTCCAGACCATAAAAAAGAAATATATATTACAATCACTAATACATTTCACTAATATGGCAGACAATTACCATAAATAAAATGATCTAAGTCCCAATCAAACTAAGGATGAAGGGACAGGAAAACAATAGGATACCATTTACCGTGGTATGAGCACATCCTGTTTTTTATCTTTGATAATACAAAGATGCAACAACTCATGTTTAAATTTCCCTACAATGGCATTAATATTTATTCTGTAATTCGGTTCATGCATACATTCAAATATCTGATTGACAGCCAAGATGGGCAGCACAGTGGCTAAATGGTTAGCACTTCCGCCTGGCAGTACTAGGGACGTTTGTTCGAATCCCAACCACGACACCACCTGCCTGGAGTTTGCATGTTTTCCCTGTGCCTGCGTGGGTTTCCTCCGGGTACTCCAGTTTCCTCCCACACTCCAAAGACATGCTGGTAGGTTAATTGATTCCTGTCCAAATTGGCCGTAGTATGTATGAATGTAAGTTAGGGACCTTAGATTGTACGCCCCTTGAGGATTAGGGACTGATGTGAATGAACAATATATATGTAAAGTGCTGCGTAAATTGACAGAGCTATATAAGTACCTAAAATAAATAAATAATTAGATGACCAGATCAAACAGATATCAAAACCACACAACAAGGCATCAAAGGAAAATGTGTGCCCCCCCCCCCTTATATGAAAACATTTGCCTTTTAATGATAAAAGTCAATTGAAAGCTAGATGCTGTATAAAAAATTAGTTTAATAATTTTTGCTAAAAATAGTTTATTCCAGCTAAAATGGCACACATAAAACTTCCATTAAAGCTAAATGTAAGATATTTAAAAATTATTGAAAAAATGTATCCGATGCCTTGTTTTTTATAGTGTACCGGTCTTGATGCCTCTCTTCAAACTGGCATAAATAATGCATACAATGCAAGACCAGCAGTCACTGTTGGTCCTGCACGGTACACGAAGATGTGGAGTGGCCACCCACATTCCAGTGAAGTAGAGAAGACCGGAGCACCAGATCCTGCAGGACCCTGAATTAAAACCCCCAGAGTTTTCTGGCGAGTTCATATGTCAAATATTTTCCAAAATAAGTCAAAATGAATCAAGTACCGAAAAAGATCAATATTTGTCAGATTTAATCAAAACATTTAAAGTAGTTTTGAACCTCAGACATGAAAAATGACAAAGTATTTCTCTCTATAGTCTGTATTTGCCTCTACACAGAGCACTGAGTGTCATTTCTATCTGGTCTCTCTACGTTCTACTATCTGAATATGATTCATTGATAAAATTCTAAGCCGACACAACAGCCTCCCGGGAAACGTGTCCCCCTTCCAGCACACAGCAGATGGCTGACAGCCTCATGTCTGTATATTTCCCTATGTTAGTGTAGAGGGGGATTGTCTCTTCCCTCACTGATATTTCAGGTTTCACTGGAGCTCTGTAATGTGTGACAACAGGTCACCACTCTCTGCTTGCTGGAGATGAGAAAAATTCTTTGATCTCTGTGTTTTGAAATGCTCTACAGAAGATATGGTTGCAGATACACGGGTACAACTGATGTAGGATTTGCGTCATCTCTGTGTATCATCTGAGCCTAGCCACCTCACTGGGTATATGTAAGGGTTTACAACCACATTAATCACCTCTTTGAATGATCATATCATTATGTTTGTGTGGCCTGCTAAAGAGTTCATAGATGTTCTGGTTATACCTACTACGGCTTGTCAGATTTACTTACAAGGCAACGGAGTCTCTCTAGACAACTTGCCCGATGTCCCAAACTTAATAGCTATCTGCCTCATCTTCTCAAGATCTCCAGACTCTTCTGCCTCTAAGTATTCCTTCTGAGCCCGCAGCTTTTCTACATCAGGAAAGAAATCTCTCTGGATGATTTTCTGCAGATTCTATAGGGAATATAAACAAACAATAATGACTAAATTAACCTTGCTTCATTTTACCTACGGTACATGAAAACTAGCCAAGCCAAGACAGACCATTCTCTGACACCAAGTGATCATTCTTGAAGCTACGTAACTTTCTAGCTTGACAAAAATCTTCAACCATCTGCTGACATTCACAATTATTGTATAGAAAAGATTCCATTAAATGATAAAGCACAAAAAGAGGTGTCACAGTAACAGAGGGGACAATGGGTTCCAGGGAAACGTTACCTGACTGGGTGCTAAATATCTTCATCACTCTGGAAGGTCCAAACCATTAAAGAGGAGCTCTCAGTTCAAATTTGTTTCAGTGTTCTGCCCCAGGAGGCAAAATACCCCTAGTACTGTATCCCATTTTCTTTGTGCTTTGTAAGCCCAGCTACTAGGTCATATAAGATGTCACGCCTCTCTCCACAGCCAACCAACAATGTAGCTAGCAAGGACATGGCTGTTTAATAATCATCCCTTGTCTGGTTTATAAGCATAGGCAAGAGAAATGCAGAAGGACCACTGACATATGACCCCCCCCCCCCCCCCCCATGCATTCCTCCTGCTGCCAATTGTCTATGGCAAGTGATGGGAGCCAAAGATAAGCGGCAGTTATCAAGATGCCATTTCCTTGTCAATTACATTGTCAGCCATGGGGGTAGGGGGTCAACCCCGTACAACCTTGTAGCCAGGTTTACAAAACGTCCAGGAACAAGAACAATACTATATGTATTTTGTCCCCTACGGGACAGAACAATGAAAGAAATGAAGTGGGAGTTCTTCAGTAAAGGCCACCCAACGCTGAATAAACTATAATGGGTAATGTGGCAGCACAGTGGCTAAATGGTTAGCACTTCTGCCTGGCAGTACTAGGGACGTTGGTTCGAATCCCAGCCACGGCACCACCTGCCTGGAGTTTGCATGTTCCCCCTGTGCCTGCGTGGGTTTTCTCTGGGTACTTCGGTTTCCTCCCACACTCCAAAGACATGCTGGTAGGTTAATTGAATCCTGTCTAAATTGGCGCTAATATGTGAATGTATGAATAGGGACCTTAGATTGTACACCCCTTGAGGGTTAGGGACTGATGTGAATGTACAATATATATGTGTAAACCGCTGCGTAAAATTGACAGCGCTATATAAGTACCTGAAATAATTAAATAATGTAGTCTATGCCAAAGGTGTGTTTAGACAGAACAGGCCAATCAGCTTTGGACAGTAAATATTCCCTTCTGCAATGAACAAGTGACCATATCCTCAACAACTGACCATTTCCTCAACATTTATCACATTGCTCAACACTGCCCTTGCAGCAGGGCTGGAAAAATCCTGGACACCGTTCACTGGTAACTGTGGAACCTGAAAATTAGCACTGTCCCCTTAAAGTATAACTAAAGGCAAAACTTTTTTTTCTTTTCATTTTGAATAGCGTAAGCAAGGGTTATAACCCTAACAGGTTTATTTTTTGCCATTTGTGTACCATTGGGGAGATTTCCCTTGACTTCCTGTCCCATAGCCAAAACAGGAAGTGAGAGGAAATCCCTTCAATTTGAGGGAATCCCGGGTTTCCACACACTAGTGCCCCATTGGAAGAATTTCCATATATTACATTTCTGGGGACAACCCAAAATTCAGGCTTTCCTTTCACTTTCAATGATAACAGTAAAGAGGAGAAATAGAGTGGGTGAAAATCCATAATGGGGAATAGGAAGCAATAAAAACCTTACAGATGTTCTAATCCCTCTCTTCTCTATCCAAACGTAAAAAGAGTTTCACCTTTAGTTATACTATAAGAGGGTAAGGCTTACATAGAACGTCTAGCTTCACCATACACATTACATTCTAACCATACACTCAGTCTTAGATCTGTCAAAGCGATGTAATATGAGGACTTCTATAAACTATGCAATCAGTCTGTATCCAACCCCACAGGCCCTTGAACTAAATATTTGTTGGTAGATCTAAAGGAGATTGCACGACCTGATTGTAATGTGTGTGGTGAGCTTTAGGTCTTCGGCAGGCAATTGGGGGGGATGGGGCACCGCAGGAAAAAACAAAGCAGAACTAAACTCTGCAAAACACCTTCCAGCGATGCAACATTTACATCCCTCACCAACCGCTGTCATCTTTTCCCCAGGCTACTTCCAGATGTCAGGTTTTCAGCCTCTTGATTGGCTGATGGGGAATGATGTCATCCCATGCATGTGCACAGGAATCAGTCATTCCACCACCGCTGGTGTGTATGGGGAATGAGCGTCAAGTTGTGCATGCGCAGCTCAGTGTATGTTCATTGGAAGCAGGCAGGTAAGTGTGTCTTATTGCACAAGTGACATGACATGGATCTTCTGCAATGCAAAGCATGCCTGCTGATATTTACATTTAGCTATGGATCCACTTAAAATATTAGTGGGGAGTGAATAGGAAAAGAGTCTATCCAGAATCAACATGTCACCCTGAATTCAGCAGTCGTATCCCTCTGGATCACTCAGTAACTGAATGTGCATTATACAGCCTGTAGTACATCCCAGCTCCATGCTGCCCCGCTCACCTCTATGTACGTCTCCTCGCTCAGCACCTTCTTCTTTGGCTTCTTGTTCTCTACGTCCTCCGGTGTCGGCACAGCTACAGCACTGGAAGCCTGGTCTTGGGTTACCAGAGCCCCAGAGAGGGAGGACTCTGGGCCCGCGGCAGCCATACTCGATGACAATAGCCCAACGACACCGCTAGGAAGCAACAAACCGACACACAGATCACCGGAAGCACAACACGCCGTTTACAGAGGAAGTGAACGTGGATTGGAGGACACTGCCATCACACGGCGCATGTGCATTTCTCTTTTCGGTGTGGTTGGTGACAGCTAAGCTAGTCATAGCATAATACTGTTATCACATATCATCTGGACAGGGAAGATAGATGTCATTAACCACTTGCCGTCCAGAAGACTTACCCCCTTAACCACTTGCCGTCCAGACTTACCACCCCCTTAACCACTTGCCATCCAGAAGACTTAACCACTTGCCGTCCAGGAGACTTACCCCCTTAACCACTTGCCGTCCAGGAGACTTACCCCCTTAACCACTTGCCATCCAGGAGACTTACCCCCTTAACCACTTGCCGTCCAGGAGACTTACCCCCTTAACCACTTGCCGTCCAGAAGGTTTAACCACTTGCCATCCAGAAGACTTAACCACTTAACCGTCCAGGAGACTTACCCCCTTAACCACTTGCCGTCCAGGAGACTTACCCCCTTAACCACTTCCCGTCCAGGAGACTTACCCCCTTAACCACTTGCCATCCAGAAGTGTTTTTAACCACTTGCCATCCAGAAGACTTAACCACTTGCCGTCCAGGAGACTTACCCCCTTAACCACTTGCCGTCCAGGAGACTTACCCCCTTAACCACTTGCCGTCCAGGAGACTTACCCCCTTAACCACTTGCCATCCAGAAGGTTTAACCACTTGCCATCCAGAAGACTTAACCACTTGCCATCCAGGAGACTTAACCACGTGCCATCCAGGAGACTTACCCCCTTAACCACTTGCCATCCAGGAGACTTACCCCCTTAACCACTTGCCGTCCAGGAGACTTACCCCCTTAACCACTTGCCGTCCAGGAGACTTACCCCCTTAACCACTTGCCGTCCAGACTTACCCCCTTAACCCACTTGGCATCTAGAAGACCCACCCCCTTAACCACTTGCCATCCAGAAGGTTTAACCACTTGCCATCCAGAAGACTTAACCACTTGCCGTCCAGGAGACTTACCCCCTTAACCACTTGCCGTCCAGGAGACTTACCCCCTTAACCACTTGCCATCCAGGAGACTTACCCCCTTAACCACTTGCCATCCATGAGACTTACCCCCTTAACCACTTGCCATCCAGAAGACTTACCCCCTTAACCACTTGTCATCCAGAAGACTTACCCCCTTAACCACTTGCCATCCATGAGACTTACCCCCTTAACCACTTGCCATCCAGAAGACTTACCCCCTTAACCACTTGCCATCCATGAGACTTACCCCCTTAACCACTTGCCATCCAGAAGACTTACCCCCTTAACCACTTGCCATCCAGGAGACTTAACCACGTGCCATCCAGGAGACTTACCCCCTTAACCACTTGCCATCCAGGAGACTTAACCACTTGCCGTCCAGGAGACTTACCCCCCTTAACCACTTGCCGTCCAGGAGACTTACCCCCTTAACCACTTGCCATCCAGGAGACTTACCCCCTTAACCACTTGCCGTCCAGGAGACTTACCTCCTTAACCACTTGCCATCCAGGAGACTTAACCACGTGCCATCCCGGAGACTTAACCACGGGCCATCCAGGAGACTTAACCACGTGCCATCCAGGAGACTTAGCCCCTTAACCACTTGCCATCCAGGAGACTTACCCCCTTAACCACTTGCCATCCAGAAGACTTACCCCCTTAACCACTTGCCATCCAGGAGACTTAACCACGTGCCATCCAGGAGACTTACCCCCTTAACCACTTGCCATCCAGGAGACTTACCCCCTTAACCACTTGCCATCCATGAGACTTACCCCCTTAACCACTTGCCATCCAGAAGACTTACCCCCTTAGCCACTTGCCATCCAGAAGACTTACCCCCTTAACCACTTGCCATCCATGAGACTTACCCCCTTAACCACTTGCCATCCAGAAGACTTACCCCCTTAACCACTTGCCATCCAGGAGACTTAACCACATGCCATCCAGGAGACTTACCCCCTTAACCACTTGCCATCCAGGAGACTTACCCCCTTAACCACTTGCCATCCAGAAGACTTACCCCCTTAACCACTTGCCATCCAGAAGACTTACCCCCTTAACCACTTGCCATCCAGGAGACCCCCTTAACCACTTGCCATCCAGGAGACTTACCCCCTTAACCACTTGCCATCCAGGAGACTTACCCCCTTAACCACTTGCTATCCAGGAGACTTAACCACTTGCCATCCAGGAGACTTAACCACTTGCCACCCAGGAGACTTAACCACGTGTCGTCCAGAAGACTTACCCCCTTAACCACTTGCCATCCATGAGACTTACCCCCTTAACCACTTACCATCCATGAGACTTACCCCCTTAACCACTTGCCATCTAGAAGACTTAACCACTTGCCATCCAGAAGACTTACCCCCTTAACCACTTGCCATCCAGAAGACTTACCCCTTAACCACTTGGCATCTAGAAGACTTACCCCCTTAACCACTTGCCATCCAGGAGACTTAACCACTTGCCATCCAGGAGACTTAACCACTTGCCATCCAGAAGACTTACCCCCTTAACCACTTGCCATCCAGAAGACTTACCCCCTTAAGCACTTGCCATCCAGGAGACTTAACCACGTGCCATCCAGGAGACTTACCCCCTTAACCACTTGCCATCCAGGAGACTTAACCACGTGCCATCCAGGAGACTTACCCCCTTAACCACTTGCCATCCAGAAGACTTACCCCCTTAACCACTTGCCATCCAGAAGACTTACCCCCTTAACCACTTGCCATGCAGAAGGTTTAACCACTTGCCATCCAGGAGACTTACCCCCTTAACCACTTGCCATCAAGAAGACATCCCCTTAACCACTTGCCATCCAGAAGATTTAACCACTTGCCATCCAGGAGACTTACCCCCTTAACCACGTGCCATCCAGAAGGTTTAACCACTTGCCCTCCAGAGGATTTACCCATCATCCACCTTACTAACCGTTCTGTATCAGCCACCCCTCTCTGCCAATCCCTCTACTGGCTTCCCATTGCCCAATGGATAAAATTCAGAACATTAACAAATAAAGTCATTTATAACTCTGCCCCAAAATACATCACCAATCTTGTCTCCAAATATCACCCAAACCGTACTCTCCGCTCCTCGCACGACCTCCTGCTCTCTAGCTCCCTTGTCTCCTCCTCCCATGCTCGTCTCCAGGACTTCTCCAGAGCTTCCCCCATCCTATGGAACTCTCTACCCCAATTTATCAGACTATGGCCTACTCTGCTCACTTTTAGGCAATCTCTGAAAACCTATCTCTTCAGGGAAGCCTATCCTGCCCTCAGCTAATTATTATTATTATTATTATTATTATACAGTATTTATAAAGCGCCAATAGTTCGCTCAGCGCTGTACATTACAAAGGGGGACAGAACATGTGACAGAACAATACTAATACAATGCAAAACATGAGGGGATCGAGGGCCCTGCTCTTTCGAGCTTACAATCTAGGAGGGAGGGGATGGTGGCACAGGAGGAGATAGCTGTGGGGGATGGAGTGGTAGGAAGAGTGGAGGAGGTCGGCAAGTTAGCAGGGGGTGGGGTAGGCTTCCCTGAAGAGATGGGTTTTCAGGGTGCGCCTAAAGGAGAGGAGAGTAGGTGATAATCTGATGGGTTGGGGCAGGGAGTTCCAGAGGATGGGTGACACCCTGGAGAAGTCCTGGAGGCGGGCATGGGAGGAGGAGACCAGGGAACTAGAGAGAAGGAGGTCTTGTGAGGAGCGGAGTGTGCGTGCTGGGCGGTACTTGGATATTAGGTCAGTGATGTAGTTCGGGGCAGTATGGTGGACAGCTTTGTACTCCAGCGTTAGGATTTTGAATTTGATCCGTTGCGCAATCGGAAGCCAGTGGAGGGATTGGCAGAGGGGGGTGGCGGAGACAGAGCGGTTGGAAAGGTGAATGAGTCTGGCAGCCGTATTCAGGATCGACTGAAGCGGGGGATAGCCAGCGGCGAGGCAGGCCAGTGAGGAGGGAGTTGCAGTAATCGAGTCGTGACATGATGAGGGAGTGGATGAGCTGTTTAGTGGTTTCTGGGGTTAGGAACGTGCGGATTTTGGCGATGTTGCGGAGGTGGAGTCTGCACGAGTTTGTTAAAGATTGGACTTGGGGTTGAAAGGATAGGTTGGAGTCCAGAATGACACCAAGTACTCTGGCCTGCAGGGCGGGTTTGATGGTAGCGTTGTTGGATGTGACGGAGAAATCAATGGGGGGGTGGTGTCCGGGCTGGGGGGAAGACAAGAAACTCGGTTTTGGAGAGGTTCAATTTAAGGAAGTGGAGCGACATCCAGTCTGATATGTCGCTCAGTAGGTGTGTGATTCGGGCTGAGACCAAGGGGGTGAGGTGGGGGGTTGAGAGATAGATTTGTGTGTCATCGGCATAGAGGTGGTAGTTGAAGCCGTGAGAGTGTATGAGTTGGCCAAGGGAGGAGGTATAGATGGAGAAGAGAAGGGCCCGAGGACAGAGCCTTGCGGGACCCCAACAGAGAGGGGGAGTGAGAGGGAGGTGGTAGCATTATAGGTAATGCTGAAGGAGCGTTGTGACAGGTAGGATGAGAGCCAGGAGAGAGCAGAATCTCTGAGGCCGAGGGAGTGTAGTTTTTTGAGGAGGAGGGGGTGGTCGACTGTGTCGAAGGCCGCAGAGAGGTCAAGGAGTAGGAGCACTGAATAGTGGCCATTAGCTTTGGCGGTTAGCAGGTCGTTGGAGAGTTTGAGTAAGGCAGTTTCGGTGGAGTGTAGGGGACGGAAGCCGGACTGTAGGGGATCGAGGAGGTTGTTGTCGTTGAGGTGAGAGCATAGGCGGGTGTAGACTAGGCGCTCGAGGAGTTTAGATGTAAATGGGAGCAGGGAGATGGGTCTGAGGTTGTTTGGGTCATTGGGGTCCAGGGAGGGCTTTTTAAGTATGGGGGTGATGTGTGCATGT